GTAGTGGGGGACCAGAAAAAGCGGCACCCCCAGCTTGTAGCTGTACACTGCGGGGCTGCGAGTAAAATGAAGAGCAGCCTGTGAGGAAGGAGCGGGGAGTGAGACATGGTCCTTTCCTTCCACCTGTCACCCCCTCCTCACCTCCTGCATGCCCTTGAGTAAACCTGGGCATCCTCTCCTCCTTGCCCCAGTCCTGGGGCCCACACAAGTCCCTGCTGGGCCCCAAGAGACAGAAAACACGGCTCAGGCCTCCCAGTCCTATTCCCAGTAGCAGGGTGGAAGATTTCTGCAGAATTTCCAGCCCAGGCCAAATGCAGGCTATGCTAGGCTGGAGGAACTCCCTCTTTCTGTGTCCAAAAACACTCCTTTTTTTTTTTTTTTTTTTGAGACGGAGTCTCGCTCTGCCGCCCAGGCTGGAGTGCAATGGCCGGATCTCAGCTCACTGCAAGCTCCGCCTCCCGGGTTTACGCCATTCTCCTGCCTCAGCCTCCCGAGTAGCTGGGACTACAGACGCCCGCCACCTCGCCCAGCTAGTTTTTCGTATTTTTTAGTAGAGACGGGGTTTCACTGTGTTCGCCAGGATGGTCTCGATCTCCTGACCTCGTGATCCGCCCGTCTCGGCCTCCCAAAGTGCTGGGATTACAGGCTTGAGCCACCGCGCCCGGCAAACACTCCTTTCTTAAGAGGAGACACTCCATCACGTTTTGGAGAGAGAGAGTGCATGTGTGTGTCTCTGTGTGTGTGTTTTGTTTTGTTTTGTTATTTTACTTTTATAGAAAGGAGTCTTGCTCTGTCGCCCAGGCTGAAGTATAGCGGTGCAATCTCGGCTCACTACAACCTCTGCCTCCTGGGTTCAAGTCACTCTCCTGCCTCAGCCTCCTGAGTAAGTGGGATTACAGGGGCGTGCCAGGACACCCGGCTAATTTTCGTATTTTTAGTAGAGACAGGGTTTCACCATGTTGACCAGACTGGTCTAGAACTCCTGGCCTCAAGCGATCTGCCTGCCTTGGTCTCCCAAAGTGCTGGAGTTACAGGCATGAGCCACTGTGCTGGGCCACTGTGTGTGTGTTTTTGTTTTGTTGTTGTTGTTGTTGTTGTTTTTAGATGGAGTTTCGCTCTTGTTGCCCAGGCTAGAGTGCAATGGCATGAGCTCGGCTCAATGCAACCTCCGCCTCCCAGGTTCAAATGATTCTCCTGCCTCAGCCTCCCGAGTAGCTGGGATTACAGGTGTCTGCCACCATGCCCAGCTAATTTTTTGTATTTTTCGTATAGACAGGGTTAAGCCGTTTTGGTCAGGCTGGTCTCAAACTCCTGACCTCAGACGATCCACCCACCTTGGCCTCCCAAAGTGCTGGGATTACAGGCGGGAGCTACAGCGCCCCACCCAGTGTGTTTTAACAGACTAGTATTGGGGAAGACTTCCCTCTTTCAACCCGGCAAGATAAGTCTACACCCTCCCTAGGCGGGTGCTGGGCAGGGCAGCTCCCAGCAACTCACTGAGAACTGGAAAGTTTCCAGGAAGGGTTGGAAAGGTCAGACAGGTCATGTCTCTCACTGTGGTCAGGACACAGTCCTTCAAGAAAGGACACTGGAACAGAGATAAGCGGGAGAACTCAGCTCCTTCCTTCAGTCACAGAGCCCAGTGTTTAGTGCATCTCCGTCAATGGCTTGCTCCCTTTGAAGTAGAGACTACAGTCGGTAGTCCTGGTTCTTTATCAGTGAGTCCCTCCCCCATGTTCTGCGGGGTGGCTACCACGGAATGCTGCAGCTGCCTGCCTGTTAATCTGAGCACTCTGGTCTCTCCAGTTTCTCTTTTGGGACCAAGGAAAGTGATACTGAACCTTCGTGGCAGATTTTCTTTGTGTTTTGAGTCCCAACCTAAATAGCCCCTCTTTGGGGACAGAAATATGGCCGTCGTGACCCTGCCTGGGTCACAATCACTGGGAAACAGTGGCTCAGGACATTGCAGCTTAATCATTTCGTGCTGCACATCAAAGAAGATGAAATATATGATTTACAGTGTTGTGGCCCCAGAGTGTTGTGGCACATGTTTTCTCCAGGACATGTGCGTCTGGCTTTGTTTTGGTGACTGGTGAGATTGTATGCTGCGCACTGAAATAGAGGATGCGGGAGGAGCAACGGGTGTTGGGAAAAACAATGTTCAGTGTGGGGTATGTTGAATATGAGGTGGTGGTGGGTCGTCCTAGTGGAGAGGTCCAATGGATAATTGAATACAGGGTCTGGAGCGTGGAGTGAGAGGAAGAAGTCCAATCTAGAGGTGAACAATGGTGACTCTCCATTTAATTGTTAAATCTTATTTGTTTAAACAAATCTTATTTAAACCATGGATTTGCACGGGGACCTTCAAGGACCCTGAACAGACCAGAAAAGCTTAGAGCCAAGGATGGAGTCCTGGGGCATGGTGGGAAGAAGAACAGAGGAAGGAGCTCCAAGGAAGGAGATGGAAGGATCAACCAGAGAGGCAGCGGTTACCAAGAGAAGGTGGAACAAAGTCAGCAGAGGGCAGAGTTTCAAGGAGAAGGCAGCCAACACAGTCAAATGACTAAGAGATTGCCAAGTCAGATCAGACCTGGAAATGCCTTCTGGACTTGGCCAACATGAAGGTCAAAGGTGATTTTAGTGAAAGCATTTCAGGGGCTGGTGAAGGAGACGCCAGATTACAGGCAGTGGAGGAGATAAGAGAGAGGCTAATGGGAGGGACACAGACCACAACAGAGTTGATAGGGGTTAGGGGTCGGGTGAGGGGGAAGAAAACTGAGCAGGCTAATTTGGGGAAGGAAAGAATCAACGGAGGGGGAAATGAAGGCAAGGTCAAGAGAGGGTCCCGGTGAAGGACAATGGAAGGGGCAGTGGTGGGAGGAGGGGAGGGGCGGGGCCACAGGGAGCAGGTTAGGAGGGCCCAGCCTCCCTAGGCAGGGGAAAGGAAAGGGGAAGGCCGGCGCGCCTGTGCGCAGTGAGATTTGTAGGTGAGAGGAAAGCCGCAGAAGTTATTTTGCCCCGTGAAGTAGGAGGCAGAACCATCTGCTGAGAGCAGGGTGGGAGGTGGTGGCAGGAGTTGAGGGAGGGGCAGGAGAATGAGGTTCCCAGCATCTCCTAACCGTGCAGAGGCGCCTGCAGAGGGAGCCCGTGCAGCTGCCGCTCTTCTTGCTCCGTGGTTGTGTGCTGCCCTTCAGCATTCCACAGCTCACCCTGGGAGACGCTGGGCTGACCCAAGGCTGGAATGTTCCGGGGCAGAGCGACGAGTATCAGACCACGGGCTCCGGACTGGATTGGAAAGCAAGTTCACAAAAGTAAGCAAGCGACCAGGAGGAAAGGGAGGGGCCGTTGTTTGCGCTGGAAGCACAGATGGAAGGGGGAAGAACTGAAGAATATGGATGGCCAAATGCTGAATGAATTGGGAGAGTTCACAGGTGGAGCTCCTCCCGACGGCAGTGGGCGCCCATGGGTGTGTGCTGCTTTAGCGGAGTGGAGAGGAAGGCCTTTGGAGATAAGGAGCTCAGTGGAACAAAGCTGGAGTATCGGACGGACTTCACCTCCACGCACTCAGAAAAGGCACTAGGACGATGGGGCCCTAGGGGCTGGAAGCCACTCCAGCAGGAGCCCAAGTGCTCAGTCAGCACAGGGAAGGAAGACCAGGGATGCCTGAGGCAGAGGGGAGAAAACGGGGAGCCGAGTATCCGGAGCCTCCGTGGAGGCGTGTGTCTATATCGCGACGGAGAAAACGCGTCCCCAAGATGAAAGAAAGTTAAAATGACATTGGCCCTGCCGCTCAGACACACCTAATAGGATCCTGGGTGCAGGAGAGCCCGGGTCAGCGAGAGGAGCCAGGGAAGACATTCCCAGCGGCTGAACAGACCCCCAGCGGGAGGCCAGCGCAGTGCTGAAGACCTGTCTTGGGGGAGGGGTGGAGTTGGGGCTTCACCAGCCTCAAGGGATTAAGGCCTCTTTCTGTTTCGCGGGTGGGGGCACCGAGGCCGGATGCCACTTGCTGCCCAAAGCTCAGGCTTCCAGACAGACCCCAAAGAAAGGCTGGTGTGGACTGGACAGCCTCTCCTGGGTGGAGGTGGGTGTCAGGTGGTGTTCCTGGGGGTCAGTGGCGGGATTCCCGCCGGGGGCCGTTTCTCCTGAAGAGGGAAATAGATCTTATCTTCACATCTTTCCCCCATACACCCTCCGCCGCACCCCCCCCTTTTTTTTTTGCACCCCCCCTTTTTTTTAAATACAGGCGGGGGTCTCCCCATGTTGCCCAGGCTGGTCTTGAATTGGGCTGGGCTCAAGTGGTCCTCCTGCCTCAGCCTCCCAAAGTGCTTGGATTACAGGCTTTGAGCCACCGCATCCAGTCTACGTTTTTGAGAAGTAAGGATTGTTCTGGCTGAGTCAGGGGGAAATCAGCCTGTGGGTGGGGCTGGATCATGCTGATATTGACCATCAGTGGAGGAAGCCATACTTCTTTCTCCTCAGGCCAGCACTAACCCTAGCCCTGACTCCTAGGACCCCATCCTCATCCGCCCTCCCTTCCCTGGAGGAAAGCTCCCTTTAATGTAAGACTTAGCTTCCTTGATACTCACTTGAGAAGCCAGGAAGATGTGAGGCATGCAGAAAAGCGGGGTATTAAAAAACAAAACCTTAAAATATTTATCACGTACTTTGCCAACACACACATCCATCTGGCGTGTGTCAGGGATTAGAGGCTGGCCTGTGTTTGGAGAAAGGTACACAGTTCAAGGTCCTAGGCACCCAGCCAAAGTCCATACGATATGCCGTTCGGTACCACCCACTGCCCCATCTTCATCTTCAGCTGAAACTCAGGTCCCGGGAAGTCTGCAAATGAGCGAGGTGCTATCCCCCACCAGTCAGATTCCAGTTTGTCCACGATATCCCAGATCTACCCACTCAATTACATTTAAGAGACAGTTTCTGTCTTTACTTTCACCACCAGCCTTGGTTAAACATCAGAAAAGAGACAAATTACACACTTCTCAGAAATTGAAATTTTATAAAAAGGCATTTTCTCTTATATCCATAAAATGATATAATTTTTGCAAGTATAGAAATGTGTCATAAATTATAATGTTCCTTAATTACAGCTCAATGCAACTTGGTACTTTCTTCCCTCCCTAAAAAACGAGAGAGAACCAAAAAATAATATATATATATATAACTGTATATATATATTTATATAATATAGACAAACAAAATATGAAAAAAAATCATTTCCTCTTTGGTATAAAAATCAGACTCTCACCTTGAGAGACACACAGACAGACATGATACTGGGTTTGTAAACTGTGTGGCCAAAAGGGATTTCCCTGCCAAGACTTCCCCTCTCCCATTCCCTGCCCACCCACCCCCACCTCACTGCAGCCCCTCCAGTTCCTTCGGGGCTCCCACATGGAACATTTAAAATCCCCCTACCCACTCCCAGCTCCACACCATTCCTGAAGTATCCCCCGACCCACTACCAAAGAAGAGGAAAGGATTCTTCTCAAGGCTGATTAGGTAGCGACTAACTTGGGCAATACCTTATTTAGGGAATAGCTTCACAGGTGTGGACGAAGTAAAGGACAGGCTGTGGCCAAACTCCGACAGTGTCCCATCCAGACCAAGCCAGGCGCTGGCCTGGGCCTGGTTTTGCCCTTCTCCTCCTCTACTACCTGGCACAAGGACTCCACCACCTCCTGCCAGAGGCTGGGCCTGAGGGGCAGGGCTCCTTGCTTACTGAAGGGAGCAGAGAGGCCGATTCCTGTTCCAGCCTCATCTCAGGTGCACAGTTTCCCCCTGTAGCCCCACCACAGGGCCCTGGGGTGTAGGTGCAAGAAAGCACCAGATGGGGAGGCAAAGGGAGGTCAAAAGGGAGTCTGCCAATAAACTTGGGTTTAAATTTAAAATCAAAGAAAACTACCCCTCCCCTAGCTGGGCATGGTGGCTCACGCCTGTAATCTCAGCACTTTGGGCGGCTGAGGTGGGCAGATCACGAGGTCAGGAGTTTGAGACCAGCCTGGCCAACATGGTGAAACCCCATCTCTACTAAAAATACAAAAATTAGCCGAGCGTGGTGGTGTGCGCCTGTAATCCCAGCTACTCAGGAGGTTGAGGCAGGAGAATCGCTTGAACCCAGGAGGCGGAGGTTGCAGTGAGCCGAGATCGTGCCATTGCACTCTTGCCTGGATGACAAGAGTGAGACTCCATCTCAAAAAAAAAAGAAAAAGAAAAAAGAAAAGAAAACTACCCCTCCCCACCGACCAAATTTCAGACCCAGCTTTAGCTCACTAAGGATTTGGGGGCCACTTTCCTAGGCTCCAGCCCAAGGCCAGCAGGACTAAGGAATCCAGGAATTGATATGTATGTGTGTTAGGGGCAGAGGGCAGCACTTTACTCTCAAGGTGAGGAAGCAGACAGGACCAAACCCTCCTTTACACTCTCCCACCACCCTCTGCTGATGGGTACCTCCCTCCCTGGTCAGCTCCTCTGTCCCACAGAGCACTGGTCACTGCAGGGAGAGCTGACATGGATCCTCCCAAACCACCCCACAGCCGGCCAGGCTGCGGCATCCCAGTGTGTGCCAGCCTCCTCTTCCCAGGAGAGTTAAGACACCAACCACAACATAAAAGTCACATAAAAGCCTCCTCCACTTGCCAAATAAAAAAGACAAAACCAAACTGGACACAACACAAATCAAGGAGAGACATACACAATGTGAGGGGCCGAGGCCCCCGCAGGTCTCTGGCTTCCCGGCATGGTACATTCTTGTGTAATTCAGGAACAGAGGCACTAGGGCCCCTCTGGGGAGTAGGAGTAAAAAAATAAGGAGATTATAGTCTCCCTGTGGGTCCCAAGCAGGGCAGGGGCAGACGCAATCTCTCACAGTTTTTTCTTGTTTTTGGTTCCACATCTGGTCCCCAACTGGGGCTGGCTCCCTGTGCCTCAGCCTCTGCTCTGCCCTTGGGTCTGCTCCCTCTAGCTCCCCAGCTGATGGAAGGGCCTGCAGCTGGGAACGGATGTCCCAGCCATGTGTGGTGGGACCAGCAGGACAGAGTCTACCGGGTGGACAGGAGGCAAGGAGTGAGGACCAGCAGTTCCGAGACACTGTTCCCTCAGTGACTGGCCAGCCCTGAGTGCTCTGGTCACTGGCACAGGGCATCCATCTTCGGCCTTCAGCCCTTGAGAGGCTTGTCGGCACCGCCACTGGGGCTACTGGCACTGTCACTCTTTTTCCTGCGCAGGCTCTCAATCCAGCTAGAGCTGGAGCGGGTGGTGAAGCTGGAGAGCGCGAGGGAGCTCAGCCGCATGTTCTTGCCAGACATGATGAGCTCCCCGAAGCCCTCCTGGTGGGAGAAGGCATAGCCGGAGCGCCGGGAGCCCGTGCGGCCAACCCGCCGCATGCAGCGGTGCTGGGCTTTCTGCTTCTTCCTCACCAGCTGCGTGTAGCGGACCTGCAGAGGGGCACAGGGAAGAGCCCTCTGTCATCGTGGAGGTGTCAGACATCACCAAGGAGAAGGGACCCACAGCACCCAGGACCAGGCTGACGCAGAGGCCTCCGTGGCCAGCTGCACACGGTGTCCGTCCCCAGGAAGAGCAGATAAGCACCAACACACTGAGCAGCCACACGGCCCCACAGAGCCCCCCAAGGTTCACACGAGGCCTTTCGGGCCATCCCATCTCTGCCTCCCACAGCAGGTAGCCCAGCTTCTCACCGTGTCAGAGAGATCCGGCTTCAGGTTGAGCCTGAGGAATCTAAAGGCAACCACGGGCATGATGCAGACGACCGTGGTAAGCACAATGGTCAGCCACACCGTGGGCTGGGCCAAGGTGTTCTGGGCATTCCCTGGGGATGGAGAGGAGTCGGTGGCCTTGGGAGTCACAAGGCGGACATTCCCCATTCCCATTTCTGGCAGCTCCACTTCCCCACTCTCAAAGCCTAAGTCACCTCTGGCTTCCCGCTTCTCCAGGCTCACCCTCCAAATGTAGATCTCCAAATTTAGTTCCAAACTCCCTCAGAGCTCCAGACCTGCTGCTTCAATTGCCAGACTTGACATGTCTGTTGAACATCTACCAGGCATCTCGAATTTCCCGTGGCCCAAACTCAACTATTGTTTCCTTCCCCCAAATCTGATCCGGGTCTTTCTCAGCTCAGGAAATGCCACAACGCATTCAGTTGCTCCAACTAAAAACCCTGCAATGGATCTTGATTCATTTCTTTTTAAAATTTTGTTTTGTTTTGTTTTTTACCTTGATTCATTTTTCTCTCTTCTTTGGACCCCACATTCAATCTGTTGGTTTCATTTTCAAAACATCTCTGGAATCCCACGGCCTTTTACTCTATTCTAAGCCCTCATCAGGCTCTCACCTCCTAACTAGTCTCCCATTTCCACCCTTGCCCCCTACGCTTTATTATCCACAAAACTGTAAGAGTGGCCCTTTAAAAACATTGTAAGCTTATGGTATTTCTCTGCTCAAAACCCTCCAATGGCTTCCTCTCACATTTAGATTAATATTAAAAATTCAAAGTTTTTAATATTTTAATAAACCCATAAGGGCTTAAATAATCCAGAATGATTCCACACCCACACCCTCCAACTCATTTCCTCCACTCCTCTCCAGCTCCACGTGCAGAAGACCTCCTCCCAGGCCCGGGCTGAAGGCCTTTATATATATTGCTGTTTCCTCTTTTTGGATTGACGGTTCCCAGAGAGCCACATGGCAGGCTCCTTTTCCCTTTATTCAGATTTCTCTGTGCCAGCTGGGCGCGGTGGCTCACACCTGTAATCCCAGCACTTTGGGAGGCCGAGGTGGATGGATCGCCTGAGGTCAGGAGTTCAAGACCAGCCTGGCCAAAATGGTGAAACCCCATCGCTACTAAAAATACAAAAATGAGCCAGGCGTGGTGGCAGGTACCTGTAATCTCAGCTACTTGGGAGGCTGAAGCAGAAGAACCACTTGAACCCAGGAGGCAGAGGTTGCAATGAGCCAAGGTCATGCCACTGCATTCCAGCCTGGGCGACAGAGTGAGACTGTCTCAAAAAAAAAAAAAAGTATCTGTACCAATGTCCCTTCCACAAGAGGTCTTTGCTAACAATGCTTGTCACTCTCTAGCCCACTTGATGTTTCTTAAAGGACTTATTAGTTCCAGACATTATATCCGTTCATGTATAAATTATCTGTCTCTCTCATATATAAAATCCAGGAGAGCAACCGCTTCCACCTGTTGGTTAATTGCTGCCCCCCCCCGGGCATTCAGAATAACAGGTCACATACTAGGTGCTATAAAATGCTTGTGTGGGCTGGGCACGGTGGCTCACACCTGTAATCCCAGCACTTTGGGAGGCCGAGGCAGGCGGATCATGAGGTCAGGAAATTGAGATCATCCTGGCTAACACGGTGAAACTCCACCTCTACTAAAAATACAAAAATTAGCCAGGCTAGCCAGGCATGGTGGTGGGCGCCTATAGTCCCAGCTACTCGGGAGACTGAGGCAGGAGAATCGCTTGAGACTGGGAGGCGGAATTTGCAGTGAGCAGAGATCGCGCCACTGCATTCCAGCCTGGACAACAGAGCGAGACTGTCTCAAAAAAAAAAAAAAAAAAAAATTGCTTGTGTGATAAATGAACAAACAGATCTGAAGCAAATGCCAAGATCTGTAAATACTTCCTTCACTTCATACCTCCCACCTCTTTGCCACCCACCACGGCCACTGTGGCACCAATTCTGAACCAGTTCACACTTGGTCACTCTGGTAACTTCCTTGCTGGACGTCAACACCAGCTTCATCTTTCTCAAGCAGTCTTTTGATGCTGCTCCCTCCTCTTCCTCTAAATAAATGAATCAAGACTCCCAGCAAGTTGGATGCAATCCTGACAGCCTGGCATTCTGACACCTCAAATGCTCCACCTTTCCAGCCTCTCCCCCACTGCCTCTCAATGAGCATTCTTGCCCATTCTACCTGGAGCAGTCTCCATTCCCTACAAACACCTCCAGCTCTCCAACTTGGAATCTGACTCCCCAGTCCTGCCTCCACTCACAGCAGCCCCCTCTCTGGAACTGTCCCTGGCTAACTCAACAAAAGCAACTCTACTGACCGTGAAGCCTGGCTTTCCATGGTCTGGCAGGGCTGTTCTTCACTTTCATGGATATGGAAGCTCTTTGGGGGCAAGGCCTGGGTCAGATATAACTTGATATTCCCTCAGCACCTCACTGAATACTTGGCACATAAGAAATGTTGAAATGTGCAGATTGGCTGACCGTCCTGTTAGTCCCGGAAAAGCTGTGATTCCTCACTGATTCAAGGAGGCCACGGGGACTTACCCACGAACCGGAACTGGTTGGGAAACATGTCGAAGAGCCCATTGCTGTGCATGGCAAAGAGGATGGCAAAGTAAACAGCAAGGCTGCCCCAGATGAAGAAGTGGTTGATGGCCGTCCAGTAGCCTGTGTCCAGCCCAATCTGCAGAAAGTAGGCATAATCAGGCAGGTGCACCCCCTAAAAACCCCTTCCCCCAGAAACAGAACTGTAGTGCCCACGGCAGCCCCAGGGACAGAAGGCTCACTCCTTCCAGAGAAGGGGGGAGTTTCTGGACGGCCTCGTACCTGCACGCTAACCACAATGACCAGGGATGTGGCCACAGTGACTGCAAAGGACTGGTAGTCAGCCAGCTGGGTGCCATCATCCCGGGTGGCATCGGCAAACACCCCGTAGGGAATGAAAAACATGAGCACGGAGGTGTAGATGCCCTGGGCGATGCAGATGAAGAACTCCCGCTTGTTGAAGAGAAGGTTCAGCTGGCCCGGCTCATACAGCTTAGGGTACTCCATGCTCCGCTGCTCAGGGACATCCTGTGTGGGAGGACCATGTAGCATAGGGGGCCTCAGAGGTTGCCATTTTGACTCCACAAGGCCAAGGGCAGACTCTGTCCCTGCCTCCTTCTTTCCAAAGTCTTTGGCAGCTAGAACCAACCTCAAGCCAGGTACCCCCAGTCTAACTTAGTTCAGCAACCCAAGAGAGTTCTAGATCAGCTGCAACCAGGAGGGAGAACCAGTCACACCTTCCCCAGCTGAAAGAACTGCCTTCCCAGTGGCCACAGACAATGGGCACAAGTGTCACACCCGTCTATGTGACTCCTTCAAGCAGTGACCTTCCCCGCATCCCATCTGATCATCAAACTCCCCCATACCTGATCAAAGACCCCCATAGCCAGGACTGGCAGGGAGGTGTACACGATGTTATACAGGGTGATGAAATACTGGTCATAGACGGTCTGGAAGAGAACAGGGAGCAAGGGAGCACACAACCTTTCTTTGCTACACATCAGGCACAGGAAGACAGCTGATGTCACATACAGAGAACCCTAAGAAATTTTCTCAGGCTCCTTCTCTCCTCCTTTAATAAGCATTTTTAAAAAGTATGTACCAGAAAATAGCTAGGCCCTAGGCCCTGGGGGACTGAGTGATAAACAAGACAGATAGAACCTCTGCACTCAGGTTAACAGATTTGCACTACAGTGGACCGGGAACACTTATTACCTGGGCTGAGAAGCCGCAGAAGAAGCCAAACCAGAAGTGGACCATGGTGAAAGCAAAGTTTTTGTAGAAGAAATAGCAAAGAAACTTGCACATTCGCAGGTAGGACCAGCGCCCATGCACCAGCAAAAGGCGCTGCAGGAACTTGAACTGGGAGAAGGAGTAGTCGGAGGCCAAGACAGCCTGGATCCCTTCCTGCCCACTGATGCCCACACCAATGTGAGCCGCTGCAGAGACAAGAGATGACAAGAGGGTGAAGACGGCCACTGGCCACACACTTTAGAGCCTACCAAGTTACAACCCCCTTCCCATCATTCTTCTGCAGTCCAGAGACCCCAGTGGGCCCCTCCCCAGCCTCAAGCCCAACCTACACACCTGCATAGCCCACACTCACTTTTGATCATGCTGACATCATTGGCTCCATCTCCAATGGCAAGCGTCACAGCCTTCTTGTACTTCTTGACCAGTTCTACCACCTGGGCCTTCTGCAAGGGGGTCACCCGGCAGCAGATGACAGCTTTGCAGGCACATGCTGTCTCCAGAAACTCCAGCTCCATGTCCGCCTCCAGTGCGTGGGCCTGGAGCACAGAGAAACCTGAGAAAGCCAGTCTTTCCAGGAGACACCTGGGAGTCTCAGCTCCTCCCAGTCCCCTTTGAGACCAGAGTCTTCTCTGAAGTCAGGGGAAATTAAAACAAGATATAAAAGCCCTGGACAGAAGTGCTCCCTGAAAAGATACTGCCCAAGCTAAGGACAGCGATGCCTACCAGGCTGTGACCATTGATGACCAGGGCGTACTCCCCAGCAACGGCCTCCAGGACAGAAGTTAGCTTGGAAGAAGAAAGCTTCTCCTGGTAGGTGAAGCCGTTGCCTACGGAGCGGGATGAATCCATCATCTTCTCCCGGGCTTTCCTGTCGAGGTGGAAATGATATGCTTGTGGTCTTTCAGGACGGCAGTGGGGAGCAGGGATTCAAGCCTAAACAGGGTCCAGAAACCCCCGCCTGAGCCCTGAGCACAATGCAGAGCACCGCCTCCCTTAGGCTTCTTGTTTACCTGAGCTCCTCCCGCACCTCCAGGACAGTATGGCCAGTGACTATGAACACCTCGGTCATGTCGTCCGTCAGCATCTTGCAGGAATAGCCGATGTTCACAGCCGTCTCTACCAAGAGAGAACGCAGGAGCTACGGACAGGCACCCAACAAGGTCAGCACACTCGCCTGCCTGATGTCCTCGGCTCCATGCAAGGGTCCAACAGGGCTACTGTCAGTTGCAACTGCCTCTGCCCTGCTGGGCTCTCACCTTGCTTGTCTCCGGTTAGCACCCAAATCTTGATATTGGCCAGCGTCAGGAGGGCAATGGTCTCTGGAACCCCTTGCTGAAGCTTGTCCTCAATGGCCGTTGCACCCAGCAGCTGAAAATACCACAAGGATTCCTGGCACAAGAGTCGCAGGCATGAGCCCTCCGTGCCCACCCCTGGCCCGTCCCACAGCCCGTACCATCATGTTGTTCTCAACCTCCTCGTAGATGCTAGCCAGCCTGTCCTCCCGGCTGTCCTGGGCCAGGCTGGCCTGGAGGCGTCGCTCAGCCCACTCCTCATAGTACTCTTCATCCAGATCCTTGTAGGCCAGCACCAGGGTCCTCAGCCCTTCCCCTGCGTACTCCTGGAGGCAGAGTGGAAAGGCACACCTGGGTAAGTCTGGAGAGCTAAGGGACAGCATGAGGGCGACAATAAATAATCCTGCACTGTAGAATGGGCGTGTGCCACATTCCACAGTTAGGGACCGTCACCACACACACAAAAAGAGGTAACTATGGGAGCTGGCTGATGTGTTAACGTGTCTGACTGTAGTAATTACTTCACTATATATACACACCAAAACATTACGTTGTAGACCTTACATTTACACAATAAAACATACAAGCCGCCTCCCCCACACTAAGAGTAGAACCCCCAGGCTGGCCCTCCTCTCCTCACACCCACATTAAGGTGGTCCGTGGTGGTGCTGAGCAGCTCTTGAGTGGAGTGGTGCAGTCTGTCCAGCAGGATAGTGTCAGCCCCTTTGCAGTAGAGTCGGATCTTCCCCTCTGGATTCCGCACTATGAATGGGGCAGGTAGAGAAAGTGCCAGAGAAATTCAGACAGGCAACCCAAACACATCAAGAGTCACCTGGCACACTTCACCCACTCCAGGCCTTAATGCTGCCCCTAAACGCCCCAGCACCCCAGTCCTGGCCTCACCTATGACTGACATCCGCTTGCGGATATTGTTGAAGTCCAGGATGGCCAGCAGCTGGTAGGTGATGGCTGTGCCCATCTCATGGACGGTGATCGTCTTGGGGGTGCGAGAGCGGAAAACAAAACCAAAGTTCCTGGCTGCAGTGACCAGGGCCCCCTCATCTGGGGACTGAGCTTTGTAGTACAGCTCTCCTGGGTGGGGAGGAAGAATACACGTGATATAAGTGGCCTCTCTCAGCCATGTGCCGCGCCCAGGAAGCCCCAGCCCAGCCACATTGCAGAGGAGAGCAGAGCCCAAGGGCAGAGTCAGGTCGGAAGAGTGCGAGCCGGCTCCTCAGCCCACCTTCGTTCTTTTCTTCTGACATGACAGTATGACACAGGGAAAGGAGGCGGAAGAACTCATGTGTGTGGGGGTCCCCGATCTTGACAGCCTCCAGGAGGCTGGGGTCCCAAAATAAGAACTTCTTGTCAGCCAGAGGATTGAAGGAGAAGTCGACAGGTTCAGGCCTCTGGAACACGTAAGAAAGCTCTTAGGAAAGGCTGGGGTGCCAGGCTGCATCCCGGGAAGTGTTCATCCCTGCCCTCCCAAGTCTTAGTAGGCTCTTGTCCACGGTGGACCTCAAAATTTCCAATTCTGTCATCACCAGTTCTGCCTTAAAACACCCATTTCTCCAAGCAGCTTCCATCTCCTATCCAGATAACACATCACTCCTGACTACACTAACTGTTACTGGCCAGGCACCCTGTTTCACTGGCACATAGAATTAGGGAGACTGAATCTTACCTCTCCCAATTCAGCTTTGTGTCCCAGGACATCAAACACATCACCTACATACAGCCAGGGCAGAAAAAGAAGCAATGTCAGAGCCAGAGAGCTCCAGAGCACAGAAAACACCTCCAGCACAGAATCCCCACAGCCACTGAGCCCCTCAACCCTAATCGCTGAGCAGCTGTCACAGTGTGAGTCACTCAGTCACACTACTGACCTTGCGGGATAGGAGACAGCAGGCACCCTAGACCCTAGAACCCCAAGGCCTGGCCATGAAAGAGCCCCGGCACCCACTGCTCACCATCCCTGTCTCCACCCTAGGTGGCACTCCCCTTAGGACAGCTGCAATTCCACACCTCCCAGGCCTCCTTGCACCCATTAGACCTGTGCAGCAGACAAGGCTCAGACACTGACTGAAAGGCATCGGTCAGTACAGAAAGCAGTTACAAGAGGGGTCCACACTCTGCATAAAAGTCAGCCCCACATGCTGCCCCAGGCCATCCCAGCAGCACAGCCACAGGCCACTAAGGCAGGGCCACACTGGGAAGTCCAACCACAGCCACATTCCACAGACTCACAAGGACCCTGAGCAGCAACAGGGGAGAGTGCAGCAGGGTTCCGCCTGGCCAGGATGCCCAGAGGCCAGTGTCTCACTTCAAACAGCCAAGGAGCTCCCTAATTCCTGGAGCTGAGACCAGGGTCAGGGCATCAGGGGAGGACTCTCAGAATCTAATTTTTTTTTTTTTTTTTTTTGAGATAGAGTTTCACTCTTGTCGCCCAGGCTGCAGTACAATGGCGCAAACTCGGCTCACTGCAACCTCCACCTCCTGGGTTCAAGCAATTCTCCTGCCTCAGCCCCCCAAGTAGCTGGACTTACAGGCGCCTGCCACCATGCCCAGCTAATTTTTGTATTTTTAGTAGAGACTGGGTTTCACCGTGTTGGCCAGAATGGTCTCGAACTCTTGACCTCAGGTGATCCACCCGCCTCAGCCTCCCAAAGTGCTGGGATTACAGGCGTGAGCCACTGCGCCCAGCCAGGATCTGCTTCCTGACATGGGACACAGAATGGACCTCTTCTTTGTGTGTGAATTTTTCTCAAGAGACGGGGCCTCACTCTGTCATTCAGGCTGGAGTGCAGTAAAAGGATCATGGCTCACTGTAGCCTTGACCTCCCAGGCTCAAGTGATCCTCCCACCTCAGCCTCTTGAGTCACTGGCTGGCTGAGACCACAGGTGCCACCACACCTGGCTAATTTTTAAATTTTTTGTAGGGATGGGGTCTCACTATGTTGCCCAGGCTGGTCTCGCACTCCTGAGCTCAAGCAGTACTCCCACCTCAGCCTCCCAAAGTGCTGTGACTACAAGCATGAGCCACTGTGCCTGGCCAGGATGGACCCTTTCGAGGCCCCTCAGACCCAACTAGGAAGGAAGAAAAAACCAATGTTAAGGAAACTGTGGGGCCCCAGTTCCACTGTCCTTCCAGGCGAGGTGCAAGCCCCCAGTCCCCAGTGGTGCCACCATACCGTAGCTGCGGCCATTGATGGAGCACTTGTTGAAAACCATAATGTTCTGAGTGAGGGTGCCCGTCTTGTCGGAGAAGATGTACTCCACCTGGCCCAGCTCCTCGTTTAGAGTGGTGGTGCGGGCTTCTGCAGGCGTCCGCTTCTTCATGCAGAACATCTTCTTATCCCAGTTGATGAAGTAGCTGTGGCCCAAACGGATGACCTCCACACTGCACAGGGGACAAGAGGTGAAGCTTGGGTCGGGAAGGGGAGGAGGTGCCCCACCCGCACGGGCCTTCGCTGCAGACCCTCCACCTGGGGAGAGACGAGAACGGAGAAGACACCTGGGCACAGAAACCTGGGTGGGAAAGGGCAAGGAGAACCTGAAGGTGGAGACGGCTGCACACAGCCAGCGAGGAATGCCCCGACCCGACCCTCCTCACGCTCTCCAGACAAGAAGGGGCAAAGGGCCTGGGTGGGCAGGACAGACAGCAAAGGAGGAGAAGGGGCTGTAGACAAGGCACTCGGCCAGTTCTTACCTCAGTACTAATAATACAGAAACCATGCAGAGAAAAACAAGTGAAAGTGCCAGAGGGAGGGGAGAGAAAAAAGAGAGAGAAATAATGAGGGTGCTGTGCATGCCACAGCAACGCAGACGCCACCTCAAAGAGGGGCCGCACCAGGGAGGGGAAATGGAGTAGGCTTGAAGCCCACTCCTCACTGTCTCAGCACAGGCAGGTGCACTCCTTCCACCCTGGGCTCGCAGCGCTACATCCCTGATTCTGAACAGGGGGCAGGGCTGAGGTGCTGACTCCAGACAGAGAGGGCCCTAGGCATCTGCAGACCACCACCACTTCACAACGGCACAGCGCTCTGTGGTGGTGGTTGTTAGATCATTTGTTTTTTGAGCTAGGGTCTCTGTCACCCAAGCTGGAGTGCAGTAGCATAATCATAGCTCACTGTAGCCTCAAACTCCTGGGCTCAAGCAATCCTCCCACCTCAGCCTCCCCAGTAGCTGGGACTACAGGTGCACGCCACCACACCTGGCTAATTTTCATTTTTTATAGAGATGGATCTCGCTGTGTTGCTCGTGCTGGTGTTGAATTCCTGAACTCAAGAGATCCTCCCACCTTCACCTCCCAAAGTGCTGGGATTACAGGCGACAGCCACTGTGCCAGGCCAATATAGTGCCTTTAACATCTCCAGGTCTGTTCATATCCTCTTCTTTGCTAATCATATGCACTGTTAGCATTTCCAGAAAGGGCCATGTTTAGGTCCAGTGCAGCCAAGCAATGGGGCCATATCCGGAGCTCTGCTTCCCACCTGACTAAGGCTCCTATCAGGATCCCATTACCAGGCAAATGGGAATGTCTTCACATTCCGAAGAGCCTTCTCCTCACGCAGCTCTCCAACCCCCTCTCAGTCTCCCCCAAACATACACACTGTGACCTGATGAGACTCAGAAAGAAAACTGTTTTAGCTGCTCCCAAGGGCTTCAAGTGAACTGAGATACAAAACACAGATAGCAAAAGCCCATAGGTGGGAAAACAAAATTAGGTTGTAAGCAAAAAGGCATTTAAATAGTAATACAGAAGGGAGTGGTAACAGTCACGACGAACAGGCTACCACCCAATAACTGTACAGTCATTTAAGTTTAAAATGTTATCTTCTAAGCCAGTATCTTATATCAAGACATCCTATTAAAAGGTGAGACAAGTACTCCTGTTCCTGTTTCACACGGGAAAACTGAGATCAAGTGAGGCCTTGAGTGACTGTGGATTTTCCTGAGGTCACATGGCCACTGGGGAGACAGGACTAAACCCAGAACCTTCTGACTCTCCTTTTCACACCCTGGAAAAGCCTAAACTGTATTCCCTCAGCAGAGAAATGCTATGTCTTCTATTTATTATCACCAGCAGTTAAGATTGGAGGCTGGGAACGAGTTGAGGGCTATTTGGGGAATCTGTATGAACAAAAGATGGGAGACAGGACAAGTTTTCAGCACCTCCATAAAACATTTCCTTAAAAACGTCACAGGTTCCCTTATCTCAAGGGCAAGACACTAAGCAAGAAAGTTCCTTTCCCCTGGCCGTTCTTCCTGCCTCCTCTTCCTCCTCCTCCCCTTCATTCTCACTGGCCTGTCCCTGCTAACATTCTCTTTACCTCAAACATCCTAGATGTCGCCTTGATCCTATTCATGCTGTACACCACTGCCAGTCAACACTTCCTAAAGCATTCTTTAGATTTTTTTTAGAATGCTTTTTTTTTTCTTTTTGTGGGGGAGGGGCTCCAGTGAAAACCGGAAAACCTGCTAGAGAAATTCTAAAAGAGCTGTGACACTTGGAATGCATTTTTACAATATAGAATACATTCTTTTCACTTCCTTCAAAAACTTTTGTTTGTTTGTTTGCTTTATTTTGATTTTTGAGACAGAGTTTCGCTCTTGTTGCCCAGGCTGGACTGCAGGGGTGAAATCTTGGCTCACTGCTACCTCCACCTTCTGGTTTCAAGCGATTCTCCTGCCTCAGCCTCCCGAGTAGCTGGGATTACAGGCACCTGCCACCATACCTGGCTGATTTTTGTATTTTAAGTAGAGACAGGGTTTCACCATGTTGGCCAGGATGGTCTCGAATTCCTGACCTCATGATCTGCCCACCTTGGCCTCCCAAAGTGCTGGGATTACAGGCGTGAGCCACTGTGCTTGGTCTCTTTAATAACTTTTTAATGGTTAGTAAGTACAAAGTCCACAGGCAAAGATTCAAAAGCCTCCACAATCAGTAGCAAGCTATGTTTCCAGCTCTCGCTCTTGGCCCAAGACCCTGGCCAACTATTTCCATAGGCCATTCCCAGGCTCCCATCTCCACACCTATGCTTCCAGCCCTCTCCTCCCCTCCTCCTCTCCTTTGCGGCTCCACCTTCACCCAGCCCAATCACCACTCAAAGCCCAGAGCAAATGCCATCTCTCCCTCCCTGCCTACCTGCTTAGGGAGCGACACCCTCCCAGCCCCCGGCACCCTGTGCCTCCCACATGGTATCTCAGTCTGACACTGTCTAGATCTCCCCTCCTCGACCCATCCATCTGCTGCTGCTGAAGGCAGAGGCCACCTAATACATCTCTGTATCCCCTTGCTTCACACAGAAGACTCTAGGTCGAGTTCTACAGCACTGGTCCCTATTTTGTTGTATAATGTGTTTAGATTTTCCTTCCTTTACTAGATGTAAGCACCTAGAAGGAAGGAGATCCATTCCTAATTCATCTTTTATGTGTGATGGCACCTAGCACACTTCTTTGTACACAGGAGGCATGTAATAAACAGGTGCTGAATAAATCAATATTTTTTTTTTCTCTAATACAGTTCCAAGTACCAGGAAACTGTGGTAAAAAGTTTGCTCTGCCCACAAAGATAAACAGATAACATCAAATGTTTACGGTACAGGAAGAAGAGGACTTCAAGTTACTTCTCAAGGACTTCATCTTCATAGAAAAGAAAAGTTCTATGGGACCACCTGACTCCCTGGAGAAACCCCAGGGCAGAGAAGGCACATACCTGACGTAGAGTGAAATGGGCACAACGGTGTTGAGGATGATGATGTAGGACCAGAAGGAGAGGAAGCCAGAGAAGAAGGCACTGTCCACTGCCTCATCCCACGGCAGGTAGACCTGGAAGCGCATCCCCACCTCGTGCTCCCAGATGGCATTGCCAATGGCCAGGATCACCCCCATGCAAACCAGGAATCCAAAAATCTGGGGAGGAATGAGAAACACAGGTGAGGCTGACATGTAGGAAGCCCTCAAAACCAAGTGCATCTGTGATGTACTCATCCCTTGAGCCCTCAAAAGCTCAGATGCTCTAGTGCAAGCTTGTCCGACCCGTGGTCTCTGGGCCACATGTGGCCCAACACAGATTCATAAGCTTTCTTAAAACCCTATGACAGGCCAGGCGCGGTGGCTCACGCCTGTAATCCCAGCACTTTGGGAGGCTGAGGCGGGCGGATCATGAGGTCAGAAGATCGAGACCATCCTGGCTAACACGGTGAAACCCCGTCTCTACTAAAAATACAAAAAAATTAGCCGGGCATGGTGGTGGGCGCCTATAGTCCCGGCTACTCGGGAGGCTGAGGCAGGAGAATGGCGTGAACCCGGGAGGCGGAGCTCGCGGTGAGCCAAGATTGCGCCACTGCACTCCAGCCTGGGTGACAGAGCAAGACTTCGTCTCAAAAAAACCAAAAAAAAACAAACAAAAAAAAAACCCGTGAGATTTTGGTAACAGCTGAATGTTAAAAGAAAAATAATTTTAAAAAACCGAAAAAAAAAAAAAGATTATGGGCTGGGCGCAGTGGCTCATGCCTGTAATCCCAGCACTTTGGGAGGCTGAGGCGGATGGATCACCTGAGGTCAGGAGTTTGAGACCAGCCTGGCCAACATGGTGAAACTCCATCCCTACTAAAAATACAAAAGAATTAGCCAGGCCTGGTGGCACTTGCCTGTAGTCCCAGCTACTCAGGAGTCCAAGCCATGAGAACTGCTTGAACCCGAGAGGCAGAGGTTGCAGTGAGTCAAGATGGCACCACTGCACCCCAGCCTGGGCAACAAAGCAAGACCCTGTCTCAAAAAACAAACCAACAAACAAAGGCCAAGTGCGGTGACTCACGCCTTTGGGAGGCCAAGGCGGGCAGATCATGAGGTCAGGAGTTCAATACCAGTCTGGCCAACATGGTGAAACCCCATCTCTCATCTCTACTAAAAATACAAAAAATTAGCCAGGTATGGTGGCGGGAACCTATAATCCCAGCTACTAGGGAGGCTGAGGCAGGAGAATCACGTGAACCCAAGAGGCAGAGGTTGCAGTGAGCCGAGATCATGACATTACACTACACTCCAGCCTGGTGACAGAGTAAGACTCCGTCTCAATAAATAAATAAATAAATAAATAGTTATTTTTTGCAATTATTTTTTTCTAAGCTCATCAGCTATTGTTAGTGTTAGTGTATTTTATGTGTGGCCCAAGACAATTCTTCTTCCAATGTAGCCCAGGGAGGTCAAAATATTGGAAACCCCTGCTCTAGTGGAAAAAGCTCAGAATTGGTGACAGGTTCTAGTCTGTCACCAATTATCACGTGGCCTTCTGTCTGACCATTATTTCATCTATATGATGAAGAAACTGAAATAGTTGATTAGCTCCCAGTCTGGCACCTTGAAACCTTCCAGAGTCCTCCAAAGTTGGTAAGAGTGGGTATGAGATACTTTTAACATACCACAAAACTTACTGTAAATCATCTATTCACCTGGGCTAGGCCTCCACAAGCCAACAAAAATGCCAAGCCACAATAATGTTCACTATCTCACATAGATTGCCTTTTTAAAAAAAAACTTGGGAAACAAACTATACCTTCATAAACGTAGATTTCTCTTTTTTTGAAACAGGGTCTTGCTTTGTTGCCCAGGCTGGAGTGCAGTGGCATGATCCTAGCTCAATGCAGCCTCAATCTCCCGGGAAAGCAATCCCCCCACCTCAGCCTCCAGACTAACTGGGACCACAGGTGCATGCTACCAAACCTGGCTAATTTTTCAATTTTTTGTAGAGATAGAGTCTCACTATGGTATCCATGCTGGTCTCGAACTCCTAGGCTCAAATGATCCTCCCACCTTGGCCTCCCAAAGTGCTGGGATTACATGTGTGAGCCACCACCCCGGTCTAGTTTTCTTGATTAGTCAAAAATCTTATAAATTTTGGAGTCTCTGGAGAGACTGGTAAAAAACCAGACCACTGTCCAATTTCCTACATCTATTTCCAAAGCTGCCTCCACTGTTGAGGCTTTGAAACAAAATAGGAGATTGGTGCCCAATGACCACCAGGGGGCGACTGGAGCCCCCTATGTGATAGACAACCACGCCCACCAGGCTGGGTTTCTGCACATCCTTTAAAGCCAGAGCGGAAACCAGCTCACCAGAGGCCGGCCCCAGCCTTTGCAAGCTGGCATGTAGGGGGCAGGCAGCAGACAGTCAGGGCGCAGGAAGGGGAGGAGAGCCCAACAAGGAGTTCAGATTTCTAGCTAAACAAGAGAAGGATTCAGGAATTGCCAAAAACCAAAACAGAAACTTTTCCTTTGGGATCCTTCGTTCTTAGAAGTTGGGGGGAAAAGACCCTGCCAACCTCTTCCAAATGGAAATTTTTCTTTTAATTCCCTCTCCATCCCCATGAAGGCCTCCTTGTCCCTGGCAAAAGCAAACAGAAGGTCACATGCTTTACAAAGTCATCATCAGAACTGGAATCAGAGAAGGGATGATTTGTTTTAGCTTTAAGTTGTTGATTCATGCACGTTCCTAAAGTTTTTTTAAATAACATCTTCCAACTAAAAGGAGCCTAAAATAAACACTGCCTTTGTGTAGCTGACCTGCTAGTGGCTTTAAAGCCAAATTTGAAGACTACTGCCCAAAGAAGAGAGAGGAAAGGAAAAGGAGCCACCCAGGGAGAAGTCGAGGGCAGGGGCAGGGACCAGATGTGGGGCACCTTACCCAGAGCACCAGGGTATTCATTAGGCGATCAATACTCGTTCTTTTGAACTTTGTTCTGCCGCTGTTTTGCATCAACTTAGTGTCAGGACCTGGAAAAAAATGGGAAGGACTGGGAAAGCCAAATAACACATCTGCCTCTGGGCTTCTGCCCTGATTCCCAGACTGCAGGACACCAAGGGGGAATAGAGACACTGGCTGGATAAAAGGCCTGTATACAGAGCTGGAGGTTTTTTACCTTAGGTATTCTCCCACCTCATCCCATACTCCTGAGGGAGGGCTGGCTGGGTCCCTCTTACCCTTCTTTCTTTGGATGCTAGGAGGCTCACCTGCAAAGATGACCAGCCCGAAGCACCACTCGGTGTTTCGCAGCACACAGCCCCGCAGCAGCATGTTCTGGTTGCTCAGGGGGAACTTGTTTTCCTTCCAGTAGAGGGTTCCGCTGAATTTGTCCAGTTTGTTGTTGGGAGGTTCACAGATCACTTCACCTGAACAGGAGACAAAAATTCCACTGCTCAAGGTCCAGTCTACAGCCTGACCACAAGACAATAAAACAAAGAGAAAATGCACTGAGGGAAGAGGATGCAAGAACAAGGGCCCATCCACACCCTGCTGGTGGGAGTGTGAGCTGATGCAGCTCTTCAGGAAAATAATGAAGCAGGCCAGGCACGGTAGCTCAGGCCTGTAATCTCAGCACTCTGGGAGGCCAAGATGGGCAGATCATTTGAGGTCAGGAGTTCGACACCAGCCTGGCCAGCATGGCGAAACCCTGTCTCTACTAAAAACGCAAAAATTAGCCAGGCGTGGTGGCGGGCACCTGTAATTCTAGCTAATCAGGAGGCTGAGGTACGAGAATCGCTTGAACCTGGGAGGCAGAGGTTGCAGTGAGCCAAGATTGCACGACTGCACTCCAGTCTGGGCAACAGAGTGTTTCAAAAAAAAAAGCAGCAGCATGACCTAATATTTGTTTGTACAAACATGTATGAAAAGTGTGGATGAACACACACTGACTGTCAGTGTGGCTATCTGAGCAGGGTAGAAGAAGAAGGAAGAGCTATTTTCTTTTTTTTTTTTTTGCTTTTTTTTGAGACAGAGTCTTGCTGTGTTGCCCAGGCTGGAGTGCAGTGGCATGATCTCGGCTCACTGCAACCTCCACTTCCTTAGTTCAAGCAACTCTCATGCCTCAGCCTCTCGAGTGGCTGGGACAACACATGCACGCCACGCCACCTGGCTAATTTTTCTATGTTTTTTTTTTTCTTTTTGAGATGGAGTTTCGTTCTTGTCACCCAGGCTGGAGTGCAGTGGCACGATGTTGGCTCACTGCAACCTCCGCCTCCCAGGTTCAAGCAATTCACCCGCCTCAGCCTCCTGAATAGTTTGGATTACAGGCACACACCACCACACCCAGCTAATAATTTTTGTATTTTTAATAGAGACAGGGTTTCACCATGTTGACCAGACTGGTCTCGAACTCCTGGTCTCAAGAAATCTGCCCGCCTCGGCCTCCCAAAGTGTTGGGATTACAGGCGTGAGCCATGGTACTGATCTTCATTCACTTTTTCTTATACACTTTGTACGGTTTGTCTTATAAGGGACATATATTATTATTCCGAGCTAATAAGCAAAAAGAATATGCTGAATTTCTCTCAACATGCATAGCAAGTGGGGAGCTATCAGCCACAAAGTTCCCTTGAAATAATTATCAACTCACAATCAAGAGGGAGCCAAATGACATTACCAACACTCCCCTCCCCAAAACAGTCCAGGAAGTTGCATAACAACAACAAAAAGTCCAAATGAAAAGGTATAATTTAACGCCCCCAAGCAAAACCCAACGCCCCTCCTCTACCTTCAGGCTGCTCCCCCAAAATTACTCACCATCAAACTTGGCAAGCTTACTGATGTCTCCCAATTCTGAGGTGACTGGAATCGCCTGACGTACTTTCATGTTGGTCTCACTAGAAGGACAGTATCCCTGAGTCCCCGATCCCTCCTCATCCTCTAAGTATTTTTTTTTCATAGATGGGGTCTTGCTCTGCTGCCCAGGCTGGAGTGCAGTGGCACAATCATAGCTCACTAAGGCCTCGAACTCCTGGGCTCAAACGATCCTCCCGCCTCAGCCTCCCAAGTGGCTGGGATTACAGGCGTTAAAACCACCATACCCAGCTAATTTTAAAAATGATTTATTTATTTATTATTTATTTATTTATTTTGTGTGTGTGTGTGTGTGTGTGTGTGTGTGTGTGTGTAGAGACGAGGTCTCACCATGTGTGTGTGTGTGTGTGTGTGTGTGTGTGTGTGTGTGTGTAGAGACGAGGTCTCACCATCTTGCCCAGGCTGATCTCAAACTCCTGGCCTCAAGCAATCCTCCCACATTGGCCTCCCAAAGTGCTAGGATTTACAGGAGTGAGTCACCATACCCACCTTTCCCCATCCTCTAAATTCTACCTGGTGACACCTAAGCATGGTGTATAACTGCTTAGCCCAGCAAATACCGGCCGAATAACACTTTGCACATCCCATCCAAAGCTTTTCTTACCCTAATATTTCCAAATTCAGACAGAGCCCAGGCCTGAGAACCTCATTCAAAGACAATCTTTTTACCTCCAAAGAGACAGAAGGAGAGGGCTGACACTGAGCATGCCACTTACCCATCAAGTTCTGCTGTCTCTATGTAACACAGCCCATGGGGCTCACTGCTGGAAAGGAGAAGGAGATCCGCCTAGAGAGAAAAACTAATGAGAAGTCCAAATATGCAAACCTCCACCCCCAGTGGGCTGTGACGGTGGCTCCTTCATCCAAGCATTCTCGGTTTGCTTAGTTCCAGATGCATAAATGGCTAGTCCCAGGCATATCAGCATGACACAGAAGCCTCTGATGTGAGAAAGTTTTCTGCCATGGGTGTTTACGAGGCAACAGTAAATCAGGAAAGATTCATCCCTTTTTGACAAAGAAGAGGAAGAACCCTATCAGCCTAGAGGGGTACCCTGTCCCTTACCGCCACAAACTGGTTATTTTCTAGCTTGATAATATCACCAACACAGACATTCATCCACTGCTCCTGCTGGAGGCTGAGGCAACAAGAAGACAGTGAAGAGGCTGTCAGGAGCTAAAGAGGTTCCTAGGGGACCCCCTTCCTCCCCAGAGCTCTTGTCTCCAACAGGCACTCACATTCCATTGATCAGCACCTGAGACTGGCGGTTATTCACCTGGTTATCACTCTTGTGGCGGAACTGAAAAGAAGAAAACTGTGAAAGGTAAGACACTTTCCCTCGCTTCGAAGGAATTTGTTAATCAGTAGAACTCAGAGCATGCTGGGTAACACCTCATATATACCCCATCACAAACCAATTCACTCCCTGACTCCCCCTCCCCACCCTCAGCAAAAAGACATCAGAGATCTAGCTGGACCGGGTAAGGGATGTCAAAGTCACCAAGAAATTGTGCTGGGTGAAGGTGGCTGTGAGTTGGGGGTGGGGGTTGGAGTAGGGGTGGGTGACTGGGACAAAATAGAGGAATGAAACCAACTCACATAGTCATCAGTGGCATCTTTAACAGCTGTGATGGTGAGGACAAGAACCAAAGGCACAATGGTGGTGAACCAGGACAGGGAAGAGATCTGTGGGATCAACTGAGAAAAAAAAAGAGAAGTATGCCTCTGAGGCCCCATCTGATGCCTTCATTCCCTTTCCTCTTCCTTGGCTTTATTCAGTTTGGGGAGCTGCAAAAAATCTACTGTGGGTCACTTACCTGCAGAATAAGGAGGAACAGGAAGTAAGTGTTGGCAACTTCCTGGAACTGCTCAAAGAGGTTGACAGGCAGGAAGGTGAGAATATTGTACTTGGAGGTCTTGATGCAGTTACTCTATGGCAGTAGGAGAGAAGATAATGAGCAGTCTCCAGCCCCAACCCAGAACCAGACTGAGGCTGCCTCCCCCATCTTTATACTTCCCCAGACCTCTACCCCAAAAGCCAGCAAACACAGGTGTGGGAGCGGGAAAGGGGAGAAGAGAAGGGAGTCTCAAGGGGGTCAATGTATTCTGCTTCACTGACAGGTGAAGGCATGAAAAATTCAGCACGGTAGCAGATTGAGAGTGGCTGAGGAGCTTGCCTTCCCCTCCCCCAAGCACTCTTCCCAGGTAGCCCTCAGTCCCAAGGGTAGGTTGTCCTTGCCCCTTTCCCCTCTCCAAACAGAGACAGGGAACGGGTGGTCTAGAGTCACTTACCGCATACTGGAATTTCTCATTGTATTCTCGGTCATTAGCCCGCGCCCTCCTTTCTTCTTCTGCAAAAAAATGATGCTGCAGTCAGGAGGAGCAAATTGAGGTCTGGACCAACACTTTGTGGGGGTTCCCTGTTTTTTTCCACAGAACATCATTTTAAGGAGTTAGCTCCACAACTGAGGGGGGTCATCAAATTCTTCCCTCCAGTCCACCTCTCACCAGCAGCCTGACCACACGGCTCTCCAGGTTACACTCACAGGATAGGATATGTTCTCTTTTCCTCACCACCAACCTTCACAGTCTTCCACTGGGAGCACCCAGTTTGTCTCCTCCACCCCCACTGCAGAGGAATCTTAGCCACTGACAGTCCTGGGATTCCCCAGCCCCTTTTGCTGCTATTATTAATGCATATATCGTCATAATCAAGAAGTAGCGCTGAAAACGTAAAGTTTCCTTCCCCCGGGGACCACTGCAGATCTAGTAGCAGTACTGCTGTCTCCCTAATTTGGAGGGTTGGGTAGGTGGCAAGAGGGAGGCTCACTGTGCCCTGGAGCTGTTCTGCGGCAGCATCCCAGCCCCACGTGCAGTCCCCCCTACAGGAGCCTCTGCTTGTCACATGTCACCAGCAGCTGCTTCTGACTGGCCCACAATGACATCATCTTATTTCAAAGCTCATCTTCAAGTAGAAAAGTGGGAGGGGGGGCGTTTCAGGGATATGGGTCATGCAGACTGAGATAGAGATGGAGGTGGGAGGAATGAAATGTAATGGAAACAGCTGCGCTCTAACTGGACTTTCCTTGTACCATCTGCACGCATTTCCCTTTAAAGGGCTCATTTGTCACTCAGTTAGTGACACCCGTCTAGGTAAACCTATCCCAAACCTTTGCAGGTCTGGGACTGCAGGCACCAAATTCATGTCCCAGAGTAAGGAGCTGTTCTATAATAGATTCCCCAGCCCATCTCCCTGGAGGTCACCATGACCTCATGCTGCAAAAAGGGGTAACTTGGTGGCAGCAAACCTAATTCCTTAAACCTGTCCAGGAGCCAAAGACAGCATTCCAGAACCCTTTCTACACACCCCAGGACCCCTGCAGAGCACACTGCAGTAACAAAACCCCAGGCCACAGTGCCCCCTGCCTACCAAGCCACTTCACTCCCATAAACTTCCCTAGAGGGGCTCCCTTGGGCTGAGTCCCCTGCGCAATCACCAAAGACCATGCAAAGGAAGAAGGTAGGGACTGGATCCTTCGGAGCCAGGATCTCTGGGTCTGGAAAGAGGATCAGGGGAGGTAGGGGAAGGCTGGGGACGAATGTAGGGATTGGAGGGGGGAAATAATGGGTGCGGGAGAGCTGCCAGGTGCTGCCTCCAGTTACCTGTCCCCCAGGAGGGCTTCTTTCGGCTCCAAGAGGGAGGCGCCTGGGCCCGGGCCCACTTCTCGGGCATCTCCTTGGGGACCGTCATGATCCCGGTGTGAGTGGGGGCGGGCAGACCGTCTATACGTCCTTGGCCTTAGCGGCATCGACCGGGCGGCCCCCCGGGGAGGTGCAGGAGCCACGGCCGCTCAGAGGGAAGCCCCGGCTGTCGGGCACGCGCCCCACCCGCAGCCCAGGCCATCCTCCCGGCCGTCGGCGCTCGGGGACACCGCGAGCTCAGCTGCGCCGCCGCCGCCGCCCCCCATTCCCCCTGGCGGATGCCAGCGTGCGCTGAGTGGCCCCGGACACGCCGAGCACGCCCAGGGCTCCGCCCCCGCCCGCTCCCCGACTGCAGGAGCCGCAGCCTGCCAACGCGCCGCGTAGGCGAAAGCTCGCGCGCGAGCCCCGCCTCCCCTCCCACCCCCGGGCCCGGCCAATGCGGGGGCCCGGCCAATGCGGGTGAGCGGACTACCGGCGTTGTTGGGGGCAACCGCTTTCACGCACACACACCCCCGCCCGCGGAAAAACCAGGAGGACTGGTAGATGAAAAAATGAGGGGAGCAGGGAGGGGGTGAGAGGACCAAGCAGAGATGAGAGCACAGCTCCCTGGGCCAGAGAGCAGGAGCTGCAGGTGCCCCACGATAAGACTGCAGGTGTTTCGGGGCGTAGGGCTGGTGCTCAGCGCCGTCCTGGCACATAACCCAGCTTTGGGATCAAGCGGAAGAATTCGGTTTCCTAGGTTCCCCCTAAGCTTGGTAGAGACTGCTGTAAGCTACCCTCCCTCAGACCCATACCAGTTGTCCCTTTTCCTTTTGCTCCCTGAGCCATAACAACACCACGCACTCTTGATGGTTCCCGGGATCTCCCCTCCTTGCCTGTCTTACCTGGGGGGCGCTTTTTTGCACACAGTGCCATCTCACCCAGCAAGGTCCCAGCAATCCCATGGGAGACCCTGCAAGAAGTGACAGACGAATGAGGTCAGGAAGCTGAGGGTAACCCTTCCCTCCCCTCATGAGACCTCTTTTGAAGACCCTCTTCTCCAGCTCTGACCCTGCCCCCCCCCCCCCCCCAAGCCTCCTCTTCCCAGTCTCTCCTCTTACTGCCATGATGGGTCTCTGGGAAAGAGGGGACTTCCCCCACCACCTCCCATCATGCCCCTCCCTTGAGTGACATGGGGGACTGAGACTTTACAGAAGCCCATGCCTGTAGGGAAAGGAGAAGAGGCCAGATATTGAAAAAAGGGGCACAGCTCTCAAGGTATCCATCCCAGGGACAATGGAGGTTCTCATGTGTTCTGGTGGCAATGAGTAGTGCTTGTGCTTACTAGAAAGCAGTTTCCCCAAAGGGTGGGGTGGAGGGAACATAAGCCAGGAAACACCTGGCAGGGCATCAGGAAATAGGGTGGGCAGGCTCCACCCTTCTCGAAAGGCTTATAAGTTCCCTGCCATCCCCACCCCCCATTACTAGGGCTTCCATCATCACCTCCTCCAGGGGAGCTCACATTAGAGGTATGGCCCTCACTCTCTGCACAGTCCCCAAACAGCTTCCCTTCAGCCTGGGTCAGCCACCCTTCTGGGCTGCCAGAGGGGTCTTCCCAACCCTGGTGGGGAGTTTGCCCCTCCCTCCATCCCACCCCAAGCCTAGTCCAGTCAGTATGGCACAGGATGCAGGTTCAGGGAGCACCAGTGAGACAGGCCTCCGCCTGCTTCCACCTTCCCATGTCCTTTCTTTCTCCCAAAAGGTTCAAGGCCTGGCCTTACAAGGCAGAGCCTTATCCTTACTCCCCAGCCTGGCCCAAAGGAAACTGCCAGCCAGTCACCTCCTCTTTCCTTTTCTGGGTGGAAGGCCTTTCACCTGCTCATCCTCTTTGGTTCCCTTTGCCTCTAGCCTACCAGGCATACCCCACCAGCCTGTCAGCCCCAAGAGATACTAATTGCCTGTCTGGCCAACCTCTGTAATTACAGACTCTGCCCATGGCCTAGTCACCCACACCAGTTCTCCCTGCGCTAGCTCAGATCCCGCCCTTACACCAGGTCAGGCAATCCTGAAAACCAGAAGTCCTTTTCATCCCTGACCTTCTCCAACTATGGCAGGCCAGGGTGCCTGGCTCAGGAAGAAAAACCTCATCCATATTTTAGAGATGCTAAGCCCTCCTCCAGGGCCCCCAGCCAGGGTCTCCACCCAGTCTGAGTATGAGTCACGGGAGGGTGGGGAGCACAGGGAGAGGTTAAAGGATGCAAGGGTGGACATCACAAGTTCTACGGGCAGCCCCGCCCTTGGGGAGGAAGGGATCAAGAAACACTATCAGCCTAAAGATCTGAGTTTGAGTCCCATGAAAGAGTTAATGTAAGAGCTGCACACGCCATCAGGAGTCAGGAGTCTGGATATGGACCAGGAAAGTTGTTTTACCTCTGAGACCCTGGGGAGACTGGAAGCAGGCTTGGCCCCAGACCTCATCCCCTCTGCGGGGGCCATCATTCCAAGGGGAAGGGAGGAGAAACCTGGGAACAGGGATCCCCTCTCACTTTTCCTTCTCAAAGTCTCACACAGCCTGGGTTTTTTCTGAGCAGGTCAGGCCCATTAGCCACGTTGCCCGGTCACCCAGCCCCAGCCCCCTCTCGGCCACATTTGGGATAAAAATAGCCAGCCCCGGCAAGCAGGCAATGCTCCATGGAGGAAAACAGCTCCTCCTATAGGTCCGATCCCTGCTCCCTTCCAAGCAAGAGCCCCAAAGGTTGGCCACTTCTTTCAGAAGAGGCTGGCAGGTCAGGGAAACAGGAGGAACTGGAACTCGAGACCCCCAGCTCACTGGCCACCAACACGAGCTCGGGCCACCTTCCCTCACCAAGGACAGAACTCAGGGCTCCCAGCACAGCTATCATGTCCCAGAGCTACCGCCCCTCCTGACACCCTCAGTTTTCCTCAGGCAGAGACCTGCACCTTACTGAGACAAAGCCTACCAGCCCAAACTCCCTTCTCCAGGCACCAAACCCTCGGGTCCCGTTTACTCCTCTCGCCCAACAACTCTCTGGGCGGGTCTCCCCTGGCCGAGGCTGCACGAGCTTCTCCTTGGCACTCGCGCCACTCTCCTGCTCTCCACGCGCCCCTTCGGCACCCCATCCTCCCATCCTGCACACACAGCCCCCCGCTCTACCCCGTCCCCGGGCACCCGACAGCCCCTCCTCTCCAGTCGGCCGCCACCTCCGTCCCGTCTGGCCGCAGCTCCCGACTCTCGGCCCCTGGTGCTCCCCTGTCTACACCCGCTCCCGGGCCCCTCCAGCCCCGCGGCTGAGGCCGCATCTCCCTCTGCCCTCCCGGCCCCGCGCTCCCGGGCGCCCCCGCCTTGCCTCGCCTCGCCTCGCCTCACCTCAGCGCTCAGCGCTCGGCGCCCGCCCCGGCGGCCCCGTACTGCCCATGCCGGGGGCTGGGGCGGGGGGCGCTCGGCTCGGCTCCCCGCGGGCTCCCGCCCCCCCAGCTGCGGCCCCGCTCCCCCGGGGCCTCGGCCCGCTACTTTGTGTCAGTTTCGGCCACGGCGGGGCGGAAGTGACGGAGCCGGCGACGGGGACCGGGGGGCGGGAGGGGGTTTTGGGGAGGGGAGAAGGAGCGGGGAAGAGGGAGCAGCCATCTTTGTGCGGGGCAGGGGGAGGGTCTTAGCCCTTCCGAGGCTCGGCGTGGCCGGGCTGCGAACTCGCCACACGTACTACCATCCGCATCTTAAAAGAAAAAACAATTCGGGAGGCTACATCGTTCTGAGGGTTGTTTTTTTTTTTAATTCGGAAGAAGGGAATAGAGGAACACTGCCTTCTCTGCAAAACGAGCATCCTCTGCAGGGAGCGGCAGGAGAGCTGTAGAAGTGGTGAACAACCAGAATTTTCCCTAGCGCTAGGTTGCCTTCAGCCCCAGACTTTCGCACCTCGGAGCCGTCCGCCCTCGGTTCCTTCACCTTACCTCCTCGCCCTGGCTCATTTCACTGTTTCTCAACTCTCTTTGAATGAACGACACAGCACCGAGATTTCTAGGAATGGTGCCTCAGTTTCCCCGCCTTGCTCTCTGTCTCTCTGCTCCGCCGCCCTCTCGCCCTCCCTCCGCCCCCACCACGCCCCCTGGGTGGAGGCGGCTTCCCTACACCTAACACGCCCCCCCCACACCCTCTCGGGGAGGTGCCCCTGAGGGGGTGAAAGTGGGAGGCGCCGAGGCGATGCGAGCTGGGAGTCGGCAGTCGGGACAGGCTACGGAGGGCAGTCCCCAGGGTTGTGCCCTACACTGGATGGGGGCCCCCTCCACCCTGCAGATGCCCGCAGCAGTCCCCATCCAGCGGCCAGGTGTGCACCCTCTAGCGGCTACTTCGAGCAACTACTTTACGAGAGGCCTTGAGGGTCAGAAAACCGCTTTGCGAAAGGAGGGAATGAGAAGCCTGAGTCCTGGTACTTTATCCTCCTCCACTTCTCCCTGTCCAGGATCCTTCTTAGTTTAGGAAGAAGGGATGCCAAATGGGTAAACAGAGAAGCCTCCCAGGTTCTGGCACATTAACAAAGAGGAAGAATAACTGTTGCTCCCAGGCGGGGTCAGTGGCTGGCTCCAGGGTCCATGAGTGAAGTAAGGGTTGTCCTAATCATAGCTTACACTCCAGCATCTGAGCTGAGGCAGGAGTTTCCAACTCTGAGGCTTTGTGTTGGGCAGACACCAGATCCTGAGCTGGCTCTGGGTCCTCAGGGTGGTGCAGAGCCACCAATAGCTGGTAAGTGGCTGTGCCAAGGGTGGCCCCCACCAGAGGGGCCACCACAGGCACCCACCACCAGCCATTACCAGCACTGCAAAAGAAGGACAATGGGAAGGTATCAGGAGTGACTCCCTTTGCCTCCCCCTCTCCAAGGACAGGGGGTAGTAACAAGAGAGTGCCCTAAAGTTGTTCCCAGGGTGGTAGACACCAGGAAGAGGATTGCCTTGGCACCAAAGCATAGTATTTAGAAGACGGAACCCCAGGAGAGCTTGGTCCAGCCTCTTGCCTTAAGGAATTATCTGAATATATTAATTTTGCTGATGAAGTCACTAATGTGCACGGAGGTAATACGGCATGCCTAAGAACACAACCTCTAAATCTTACTGTTTCAGTGAAAAGTTGGGAGGGAAGCAAGGGAGAAAGGGGGAGCATGTGACTTGGAGAAAGAACACTGTCCTAAGAGGCCAAGAGAGCTATTTAAAGGCTGAGTGCTGTGGACCCAGGGACAGAGCCCTTAGCAGAGGAAGGTGAGTGGAGGCCAGCACCAGGGGAGGCTATCTCCCACCTGAAGACTTCAGGACCCCAGCCAGCCACGTAGGTGAAGAGACGTGGGCCCAAGTCCCGGGCAGGGTTGAGTGGAAACCCACAGTTGGCACCCATGGATAGCCCGATGGCCAGGATCAGCATCCCCACCACCACAGGCTCCAGACCCGCAGGGACTCCCTTGTTCCGTCTGTCCAGGATGGCTAAGAGCCCCACCATCAGCATACCGGTGCCCAGAACCTTGGAGTCAACAGAGGCAGAGGGTTCCCTGTCAGCTGCCAAGTGCTCCGTCTGCCCTCTCTCATCCAAATATTCCATGTCATCTGGCTTTGTGCAACACAGGCAGTTGGGGATGGTGGGGGGCGCCAAGATAGACCCAACCCACACTCCACCCAGAGACTGAACAATAGGCTGGGGTCCCGAGGAATGGGGCGAAAGTTGTGTCCCCAGGTCTCCCCCTCACACCTACCTGATCCAGGAAGCCATTGTTCAGGGACAGATAGGGGGCAGGATAGGTGGCAAAAATGGAGGCTGTTTCCTTGGGGCCAGTCACTGTCAGGTTCCCACCTGTATAGTTCTGTAGGGCATCTGTGGAGGAGGGGAACACCCAGGATTTCCCTCTTTGCTCATTCATCCAAAACCATTCTGAGGCACCCCTGGCCACCCACAGGTGCTCCCAAGGCACGGCTCCCTCTGTTCCCTCTGTCACCATAGTAGAGAACATAGGTGGCTCCCGAAGCACAGAAAGCAGACAGCAACTGCACTAAGATGTAAATGGGGAGCTTGACCCAGGGGAGGCGTCCAACGATGCACATGGCCAGGGAGAAGGCTGGATTCAGGTGGGCCCCTTCAAGGATCAAGGAAAGAAAAACAGCATCTATCAAGTGTCACTGCCAGGCATTGTCACCAGACAACACTGCTGCTCCTTCCTACAGCTCTTAAGGCAGATAGTATAATTCCCATCACACAGCTTAGCAAATTGAGGCTCCAGGATGTTAAGCGACTTAGCAAAGTCACACTGTGGACCGGGCACAGTGGCTCACGCCTGTAATCCCAGCACTTTGGGAGGCTGAGGCGGTGGATCACTTGAGGTCAGGAATTCCAGACCAGCCTGGCCACATGGTGAAACCCCATTTCCTCTAAAAACACAAATATTAGCCAGGCATGGTGGCAGGCACCTGCAAAATCAGCTATTCGGGATGCTGAGGCAGGAGAATCACGTGAACCCAGAGGGCCGAGGTTGCAGTGAACAGAGACCACATCACTGCTCTCCAGCCTGGGCAACAGAGTGAAACTCCATCTCAAAAAAAAAAAAAAAAAAAAGAAGAAGAAGAAGAAGACACTGTGAATCCAAGGTTGGAACCTAGGTCTGTCTGCTTTTTCCACAGCAACACACTACTGTGTCCGGCCTCCAGCCAGGCCCGATGCAGTGTGTATCAGGGGAACAAACCAGAGGTTCCTGAACACGAGATGAGCCCCCAGAGGAATTCAGGTGGGACACAAAGAGATAGCACCTGCCTTCCGTCGCCCTGCCCCTTGATTTCTGTCTAGGTTGAGGTCCAAGCATCTAGCTGTGAAGGAAACAGGATGGAGGATACAGAACAGAGGGACAGGCTAGGTGGGGCAAGGCTTATCTCAGTCTGGGGGCACTAGTCACGGAGATAATGTCCACAAGTCACAGAAGGATTCTGCGTTTCCATCATCACCAAGACAGAGCACGCTCGCACGCACGTCCCACCTGCTCTGATCGACCAGCCCCCCTCCCTCACCTAGACTTACCACCCACCGTAGATGCGCTATCAACAACGGCGCGAGGCCGCCAGGAACACTGTGACGACGTTGCCTTGTCTTCTCCACTGGTCTGAAGCCTGGCCACAGCTCCCTTGGAGTGAGGAGCTGCGTATGACAAGAGGAGATGAGGAACAGGGAGCCCAGGAGACCAACCGGAGCAAAGGCTTGGGAAGCGAGGGGACAAAGCCAAAAGTGAATGGGCACAGAAGACCAGCAGGGAAGGAACAAAGCAGCAACGAGGAGGGAAACAGAATCAGGGGAAAGTGGAGAAGACGAAAGGGAAAGAATGGTGGGAAATAAAGAAGAGAAAGTGACAAGAATAAAAGGATGAAGAAGGAGAAGGACAGGAGATTACGGAGAGATGAGAGGATAAAAACGAAAACGAATTAGGAGTTGGGCAGGAAAGGGGGACCCCCCCCCCGCCGCCGCCGATAAGGACACCCGAAGCCCGAGTCCGCACACTTTTGCCCCCCGCCCCTTCTTCCTCTTTCCCAGTCGACCCTCACGTCCCCAATGCGCCACAAACCTCACCAGAAACTCTGCCAGGCACTGCGGGCAGGAGGCTCGCGGATCCCGGAGGTGGCCCCTCGATCCGCGGCGGGCTGAGTGATGACACCATGGTGGAAACACCCTATCGCTGTTCACTGCTCCCTCTGTCTGCACAGGCACACTGCCACTGCACAGCTACTGCCTGCCCCAGCAAAGATAAGGAACAGACTTTAAAACCATTAGCTCAATTCCTGAACAGCAGCTACTGTCTGTGCCTGTGTGTAGGCTAGGAAACAGAGAGATAACAGGAGAATGTCCGGGAGCAGGCTATGAGCACAGAGCCTGGGGTTTGCCCAACATCTGTCTCTTCTGTCATTCATTCCCATTCATCACAGGACTAGCCTCCTCCACCCTGACAAATCGAAAGAAGTACCCTGCTTCATATACATTAGATCTCTTAGTCCTGAAGTCAGTTCTGCAAAGTAATACTATTGCTTCCATTCTACAGATGAAGCCAGTGGGCCTTAGAACTCTCCAAGATCACACAATTTTCTTTCTTTCTTTTTTTTTTTTTTTTTTGAGACAGAGTCTCTTTCTGTCGCCAGACTGGAGTGCAGTGGCACCATCTCAGTTCACTGCAACCTCCGCCTCCCAGGTTCAAGCAATTCTCCTGCCTCAGCCTCCCAAGTCAATAGGACTACAGGTCCACCACACCTGGCTAATTTTGATATTTTTTAGTAAAGACGTGGTTTCTTGGGAGGCCGAGGCAAGCAGATCATGAGATCAGGAGATCAAGACTATCCTGGCCACACGGTGAAACTCCATCTCTACTAAAATACAAAAAAATTAGCTAGGCGTAGTGATGTGTGCCTGTAGTCCCAGCTACTCGGGAGGCTGAGGCAGGGGAATTGCTTGAACCAGGGAGGCGGAGGTTGCAGTGAGCCGAGATTGCGCCACTGTACTCCAGCCTGGGCGACAGAGAGAGACTCTGTCTCAAAAAAAGACTGTGGGAATGAAACCCACACACTGAGTGCTTGTGCTTCCCTTATGCCGAGTCTCACATAGGTTAGAGAATGCTCCATCTTTGCGTCCCCTGACATGGCTCGACATGAGGCCTTCACACTCCTACTTCTTCATATCTCAAGCCTCCAATTGAATGCATTCAGAGAATCTACTTCTAGACACTGGAGAAACAGTGGTGAACAAAACATAGTCTCTGCCCTCCTAGAGCTTATGTTCTAGTAGGTGGAAACAAACAATATGCAATTTAAAAAAATACAATATACAGTTTATGAGGTTCTTCAGGGCTACCATTATGATTTATGTAACTCTGTGGGCTCTACCACTGTCCTGGGCACATCTGTGTGAAATAATATTTCTTTACTGGGTTTAATGAATACTATAGTGCTCCACCCAGATTCTCCCTTGGGAGTCAATATGCCCATGCACTAGCTGCAGGTAATATCAGCTGCTGATACCACATAGCTACCTCCCTCATTGGGCAATGCCCTTCAAGTCAGAAAGGTGCATCACTGAAGGTTACATGCCCTCATGGAGCCCATGTCCAACACTGATTGATGCAGGGATAGAAAAGTCTAGCCTCTTTGCCTTGCTTTGCAACAACTCTAAAGGGCTGTTCCAGCTCCAGTTCCCCCACAGGATCCGTTGAGGCATCTGTTATATCATCCATGTGTGTCAGTTTCTCCTGATGCCTAATCTTGTTACAGGAAAGGGGTCTGAATTCAGATCCCAAGAGAGGGTTCTTGGATCTCACACTAGGAAGAATTCAGGCTAGGTGCAGTGGCTCACGCCTGTAATCCCAGCACTTTGGGAGGCCGAGGCAGGTGGATCATGAGGTCAGGAGATCGAGACCAGCCTGGCTAGCACGGTGAAACCCAGTCTCCACTAAAAATACAAAAAAATTAGCCAGGCGTGGTGGCGGGCACCTGTAGTCCCAGCTACTCAGGAGGCTGAGGCAGGAGAATGACGTGAACCTGGGAGGCAGAGGTTGCAGTGAGCTGAGATCACGCCACTACACTCCAGCCTGGGTGACAGAGCGATACTCTGTCTCAAAAATAATAATAATAATAATTCAGGGCGAGTTCATAAAGTGAAAGCAAGTTTATTAGGAAAGTAAAGGAATAGGCCGGACACGGTGGCTCAAGCCTGTAATCCCAGCACTTTGGGAGGCCGAGACGGGCGGATCATGAGGTCAGGAGATCGAGACCATCCTGGCTAGCACGGTGAAACCCAGTCTCCACTAAAAATACAAAAAAATTAGCCAGGCGTGGTGGCGGGCACCTGTAGTCCCAGCTACTCAGGAGGCTGAGGCAGGAGAATGACGTGAACCTGGGAGGCAGAGGTTGCAGTGAGCTGAGATCACGCCACTACACTCCAGCCTGGGTGACAGAGCGAGACTCCGTCTCAAAAAAAAAAAAAAAAAGAAAAAAAGAAAGTAAAGGAATAAAAAAATGGCTACTCTATAGACAGAGCAGCTCCGAGGGCCACTGGTTGCCCATTTTTATGGTTGTTTCTTGATGATATGCTAAACGAGAGGTGGATTATTCACTCCTCTCCTTTTTAGACCATATAGGGTAACTTCCTGTCATTGCCATGGCATTTATAAACTATCATGGCATGAGCCACCATGCCCGGCCATGACCTGTATCTTATTGCAACCTCCCTAACTCATCCTGTGACTTAGAATGCCTTAACCATCTGTGAATGCAGCCCAGTAAGTCTCACTCTTCTTTTACTCAGCTCGTATTCAAAATAGACTTGCTCTGGTTCACATGCCTCTGACATTTCCCCCCTTCCTTTTATAAGAGAACCACTAATCCTAAGGGTTGCAGAGGGACGAAGATCCATCTTCTGTAAGTTCTTCAGGTTGAATAGGGGTGATGATATTTTTGCCTAACTCTCAGCATCTCTCATATTCATGGTAGGAGGAGTTCAGTTGGAAAGTGTTGGTATGGGCCAGGTAGGGTGGCTCACGCCTGTAATCCCAGCACTTTGGGAGGCCGAGGCAGGCGGATCACCTGAGGTCAGGAGTTCGAGACCAGACTGGCCAACATGGTGAAACCCTGTCTCTACTAAAAAATACAAAAAAAATTAGCCAGGTATGGTGGCAGGTGCCTGTAATCCCAGTATTTTGGAAGGCTGAGGCTGGCGGATCAGCTGAGGTCGAGTTTGAGACCAGCCTGGCCAACATGATGAAACTCTGTCACTATTAACCTGGGCAACAAGAATGAAACTCCATCTCAAAAGAAAGGAAGGGGAGGGGAGGGGAGGGGAATGAAACTCATCTCAAAAGAGGGGAGGGGAGGGGAGGGAAGGGGAGGGAAGAGGAGGGAAGGGAAGGGAAGGGAAGGGAAGGGAAGGGAAGGGAAGGGAGCTTTGGTATGGTGAGGGCCACTCATGAGTTCTGACAGAAGGTGATACTCTGGAAGATTTGTAAGTGTTCAATTTAAGAAAACATTCAGTAAGCTTGTCCTGCATTCCTATACAAAGATTACAACAGCTATATATTCCACAACAGTAAAGCAAAATAAGTAAAATTATCCCAAG